TGCAGTGAGGGGCCCCAGGCCTGGAAAGTCAGCCAAGGCTGCTCCGCAGCTGGGGAGAAACCCGGCCCTGGAGTGGTCCCAGGCCTGGCCAGTCCACAGCTGTCCAAGCCCTAGGAAGCCCCGAGCGTCTGAGGAAGGAAGCCCACAGACCCTAAAGGGCTGTGCTGTGCCCTTGTTCCCGGGGGTAGACCTGCCAGGGTCCCCAGGGGGAGAGAGCTGGCAGCAGATATTCCCCCACCTTGTAGTAGAGATGGAAAGGGCCCAGAGAGGTGAGGTTAGCTGGCCAAGGCCACACAGCCGGGAGTACAGGAGAGAACACAGGCCCTCGTGTCCCAGGGCAGAAGCTGGGTGCCCCCGACCCAGCTGCTCTCCTCAATGTGCCTCCTTCCCACCCCAGTGCCCCCGCACATCGCTGGCCCCTGGGAGCCCCACTCGCTGGTCCCCGTGGTCCAAGGCGGGGAGGCCAGCCTGGAGTGCAATGCCACCGGGAATCCCCCGCCCACGGTGACCTGGGAGAGGGACGGCCAGCCCCTGGGAGCTGAGCCTGGCCTACAGCTGCAGAACCAGGGCCACCGCCTGCACGTGGAGCAGGCCCGGGCTGCCCAGGCTGGACACTACAGCTGCGTGGCTGAGAACGTGGCCGGGAGGGCCGAGAGGAGGTTCACGCTCTCGGTGCTGGGTGAGGACCGGCAGCCGCGGAGGAGGCTGGGCGGGCAGTGGGCGGACAGCAGGGACAGTCCTCCTCCCCGCAGCCCATGGCCCTGGGCTGAGGCGTCCCCTATACCTCCTGGAGTCGGGTCTCTGATGAGGGTCGCTGTTGGGGTCACTCCAAGCTGGCTGGCCAATCAGGACTGGCTCCACGCAGCCCTGCGCCCCCGTCCTCCCTGCATGCCCCTTTCCCTCCCTCCCCTGCTCCTTCCTGCGTCACTGTCCTCTGCTCTGCTCCTGGAGCTGTGGCCTGAGAGTGGGGACCTTCACACTGTGGTGGGGGCGGGGCTTGGGCTGAAGTGTGGGGTCAGGGCCAGGGTGTGCCAGGCCAGGGGCTGCTGCAGTGGCTCATTCACCCTGTCATTTTCTGAGCTCCTGCTGTATACACTCAGGTTGGAGGCCGGGAGGGGTGGGCAGGGGTGGCTTAGGGAAGACTCCCTCTGGCCATGCCCCCTGGCACCCCGGGATGCCAGGTGTCCCCAGTTCCCCGGGTTCCCCTGGCCAGCAGAGGGGGCTTCCTTTGCCAACAGACCCTCCAGGCTGCAGTCTGCTGCCTCAGCCCAAGGGGTGGGTTCGGGAAGCTGGCTCAGCTGTGCAAGGCCCCAGACCAGCAGCTCTGCGCCTTCCAGGCGCTGGACCGGGCTCTGTGCCGGTCCTTGGGCCCTCGGACACCCTCTGCAGGGCTGGGGAAACTGCCCAGAGCCCAGCTCGCTTTGGTGGCAGTGGCTCAGACCCTGTCCCCTGCCCCTCCTCGCACCCTCAAGGGGGCTGAGGGCTGCAGAGGCTCAGAGAGGGTGGGGGGAGTGCACGGCCCCGCCTGTGTCCTGAACTCGGCCCCCCCGGCCCAGTGCCCCCAGAGCTTGTGGGAGACCCGGACCTGCTGACCAACGTCACCACTGCCTTGCATGGCCCCTTGACGCTGCTCTGTGAAGCCACCGGGGTCCCGCCCCCAGCCGTCCGCTGGTTCCAAGAGGAGGAGCCCATCGACCCTGGGGAGGACACCTACCTTTTGGCAGGTGAGGCATCAGCCAGAATTGTGACCTGGTCACCCCTGCCTCGGCCTCCACTCACTGCATGCCCCTGACCCCCAGCCGTGAGGTCAGGTGTGGCGCTCCAGGGGAAAATTCCAACAGGTTTGGAAAAGGCAGGGGGCTGGCTGTGGCTCAGGGCAGAGCGCTCGCCTGGCACCCGTGAGGCCCTGGGTTCCATCCTCAGCCACATAAAATACAATAAAGATGGTGTGTCTGCCTAAACTAAATACAAATACAAGGTTCTGCTCCCCTCCCCTCCCAGAGACTCCAGGGTCACATTTGCCTAGTAAAGGCTCTGATATGTCCTGCAGCGAGGAAGCATGTCCTGTCCCACGATGACACAGAGCGTCCTGCAGGCAGTGAGAAAGCTGTGGCAATGCTGACACTAACACTGTCTGAATACTCACAGACAGGCTCCTCACAGACAGGCTCCTGAGGGCTCTCACTGGCGGACAAATGGAGGTTCTGAGGCCCACGAGGAGGCAGGGTCCCACCCAGGTCTCTCAAGGACTTCAGGACCCGTCCATGTGGGATTGCAGTGCCTCCCCGGGGCGTGCTGCTGGCATTTGGTGGCGGATGTCAGATACACTGTGCAGATAGGAACTGACCTGGGCCCAGCAGGAAGGAGCGTGGCCATCCGTTAGTGATGTCTGCCCAGGTGCAGGAGCGGGGCGGGTGCCCAGGACACCAGGACACATGCCATCACTGTGGCTCTAGGAGAAGGTCTCTGTGCTGACAGAATAAAACGGGGTCTCAAGTTTCCGCCCCTTTGGCCAGAGCCAGTGTTGACCGGGGCGAGGGAGCCCTCTTGCAGGACAGGGTGCTTGAGGCTGCTCTGGAGCATGTGTGATATCCAGGTGGCTCCATGCCGGCTTCCCTCCCTGGCTGGGGCGTGGGCTCTCATCACAGTACCTGTGTGGCCCCCTGGGGCGGGCAGGAGGCAGCCCAGAGCCGTGCCCAGCTGCAGCCTCCCTCCCCAGGTGGCTGGATGCTGAAGAGGACCCAGGCACAGGAACGGGACCGAGGCCTCTACTCCTGCCTGGCGAACAACGAGGCTGGGGAGGCGCGGAGGAACTTCAGCGTGGAGGTGCTGGGTACGCGGCTGCCCTACCCTCCTTCCTGGGGGCTCCCAGGGCAGGCAGGGGGAGGGAGAGGCCGTGCCTTGCTTTCCCGGTCTCTGTTCAGAGCTGGGGTGTAGTGCTTGGCAGAGCACCTGCCTTGCAGGCTGGAGGTCCTGGGCTCCCCCCCACCCTGCAAAACAGATAAAAGCCTCCTTCAGAGGCTGCCACGGCACATCCCAGCAACGAACCCCAAGTGGAAGGGGGCGTGTGTTCTCCACCCTGCCCTCACTGCCTTCTCTGGTCAGGGCCTGTGACAGAGGCTCTGGGACATGCTTCAGGCAGCAGCCATGTGTATTAGACTCCCTGCCCAGAGGTGAGGGGATAGGGAAACTAGAGGAGAGCCAGGCTCTGCATAGTAAAGGTTCTGATAAGTCCTGCAGCGAGGAGCCTTCTCTGGGCAGTAACCGGTTTGGCAATGCTGACGTCAGCGCTTTATCTGAATACTCGGCCTCCTCACAAACTGATCTGTGATGGTTCTCACTGGTGAACAAATGGAGATTCTGAGGCCCAAGAGGCCAGTCAGGACCCACTGGGGCGCAGACTCAGTGACCTGTCCATCATTCCATGCAGCCCGGGTGGGACTGCGAATTCCCAGCCATGGCCCCGGGGTCTCGGCCTCCACTTCTGAGCTTCTGCAGCCCGAGTGGGCCAGCCCTGTCTGTAGCTCGCTGTCTCCCTGCTCCTGCCAGTTCCTCCCAGCATTGAGAATGAGGACCTGGAGGAGGTGGTCAGAGTCACCGAGGGACAGACAGCCCAGCTGACGTGCAAGGCCACGGGTAAGGCTGTGCCATGTGCTAGGCCGGGAGGCGGGGTGGGCCTTGGAAGGGAGGGTCCTGGGGATGGAACCGCCACCCAGCCCTGCTGCCCTCACTTGGTCCTTCTGCACCTTGGCCCCTGTGCACGCCCCTGCCCCTCTGCACTCACTCACTCTGCCCTATGTGCCCCCACCCCGTACCTGACTACTGATCTCAGCCTCCAGGACCCTCCATGGGAGTCCACGGCGGGCCCTGCGCACCCAGGGAATGCCTCCTTAGGCCCCCACGGTGCCAGGGCCTCCCTGCCTCAGCAGCCACCACAGGAGACCATAGTGGCCTTGTGACATTTGAGCTCCTTAGGGACCCCACTCCTTGTCACCATGGTTTCCCCAGTGCCTGGAAGAGTAGGCTCCCATTAGTGCCTGTGGACTCAGGGACGGATGGGTGGGTGGGTGGGTGAATAGGCAGGTAGGTGGGTAGGAAGGCGGATGGTGGATGGGTGGGTGGGCAGGGAGCAGGTGAGTGGATGGAGGGGTGGATGGAGGGAAGAATGAAGGAATAACTTGCCCTTCCAACGTGCCCCACTGTACCAGGCCATCCCTCCCACTCCTGGGTAGGAAAAGGGAGCCAGACCTGGAGGAAGCGCTCCGGCCAGGCCTGGTGTCTGCTGGTGTCCTGCTGCTTCTTGGCCTGTAGACCTGGGCGAGAATTGTGTCCCTTGCCCTACCCGGAAGCATCCTCTGACCCCCGAGGCCACCCTGGTCAGATCTTGCTGAATGGTCCCGATCTCTGCCCTGCACGCAGGCCACCCCCCACCCCAGGTCACATGGTTCAAAGACGGCCGGCCCCTGGCTGGTGGAGACGATGCAACCCTCCTGCAGATCCCCCAGGCCAGCTTGTCCAGTGCCGGCCACTACTCTTGCGTGGCAGCCAACAGCATTGGGGAGAAGACCAAGCATGTCCAGCTTAGTGTCCTGGGTGAGCTCGGAGGCCCCTGGCCAGGGGGTGGTGGAGGGAGCTACACAGTGACAGAGGTTTGATTAGACATTGGCCATGAGCCGTGCGCTCGGCTCAGTCCTTACAACCACGCTGGAGGGGAGAGGTGTCGTCCCACGGCCCAGATGAAGCTCTGGGTTCAGGCCAGGGTCCGGCCAGGGTCCGGCCGGTGAGCTCACAGCCAGGCCATCCGTCCCCTGAGGGCAGTGAGCACCCATTGCCTTGTTGGCGGGAGGGGAGAATCAACCAAGAGCCGGGCCCTGGCTCCCTTGAGAAATCTGCTTCTGGGTGGAAGGAAGAGCCCCTGGGGCTCAAGGAGGGGATTTCACAGCCGTGCAGGGGTGCTCCCTCGCCCTCTCCCTGGCTCTGGGAGGGGCACAGACTGAGAAGGTGGGGTCACATAGTAGGCACTCTAGGGGTGCGGTCAGTGCGCGGTGAGGGATGTGGTTACCGACCTGTCCTGCTTGCCGCCCTGAATGATCCGGCCACCAAGACTCCTGCCCTGCCCGCCCCTACCCGCCCCTGCCCGCCAAGGGCCCGCCAAAGTCACTCCTCCCGTGGCCTGGCTCTGCCAAGGCTGCGTAGCAAGCCCAGAACCTCGGGGGGACAGCAGCAGCCATTTTACCCCCAAAACGAGCCACCTCAGGTGTTGGCAGATGGGCTCGGCTGGGCAGGGCAGAGCTTGCTGACCGGGCTCTGCTCCCTGCCTCTATCATTTGTGTACCGTGTGCTTACATGAGGCGTCCTGGGGACCCAGGCAGAAGTAATCCTCTTCCCTGGTGGCCGCTCAGTGCTGGACAGTCTGGTGCTGGACACCAGGCCTGAACTGGACACCAGACACTCCATATGTGGCTCCTCTGAGCCTCAGTGTCCCGTTGGTATAGTGCAAATGACAGTGTCACCAAAGCCGAGAACCAGGATCCGAGGCCGTCCCAGTCCTCGGGGCCACGGCTGGGGATCTGTGCTCACGGGTCCCTTCCCACCCCCAGTGGCTCCCAGCATCCTGGGAGTGACGGAGGACAGTGCAGACGAAGAGGTGACGGTGATCGTCAACAACCCCATCTCCCTGATCTGCGAGGCGCTGGCCTACCCCTCCCCCAACATCACCTGGATGAAGGACGGGGTCCCTTTTGAGGCCTCCAAGAACATCCAGCTGCTTCCAGGTACCGCCCCTGGGAGCAGGGAGTGAGGGACAGGTGACGGCTCACGAGGCTGGGTCAGAGGAAGGAGCCGTTGTGAGGTGTGGCTGCAGGTGACCTTGGCCGCTGTCCCCTGAGCAGGTACCCACGGGCTGCAGATCTTGGATGCCCAGAAGGAGGACGCCGGTCAGTACACCTGTGTGGTCACCAACGAACTCGGGGAGGCCATGAAGAACTACCACGTGGAGGTCCTCGGTGAGTGGGACGCGGGGACACTGACTGACACCCAGGGCCCTGCCTGACACCCAGGGCACCGTCCTGATGGTCACTAGGCTGCTGTGGGGACCTGTGCTTCCCCACTGTGGAGCTGAGGGCCCAGGAGGAGTGGGTAGGACCTGGGCCATGGGCAGTCCTGGCCTCCCCCGGCCACTTCTGCTGTGAGTGTAACCAGAGGCCCTGCAGCTTCAGACCTTCCAGAAGGACATCCGAAGCTGCCCCAGGAGTCCCCTGCCTTAGACCTCCCTGTCCCGTAGCCATGGCAGGTGGCCCATGAGTGGGTCACCCCAGGCCTGCTTCAGGGGCTGCCCCGGGACCAGGCTGAGCAGGGTGTCCCCCCAGGGCCACTCACTCCCTGCACACTGGCTTTTCAGTTCCCCCTTCCATCTCCAAAGACGACCCCCTGGGGGCGGTCAGCGTGAAGGAGGTGAAGGCCAAGGTGAACAGCACGCTCACCCTGGAGTGCCAGTGCTGGGCCGCGCCCCCGCCCTCCATCAGCTGGTACAAGGACGGGCGGGTGAGTGGCCGGGCCGGGCGGGCCCTCACCGGGGCTCCCACTGGCTCTGCTTGGAATCTTCCAGAAAAGAGCCCAGAAAACAGAGGGCCCCGAGCTGGCCCGGGCACATGGACCCTGTCTATTTTGGTATAGACCAGTTCCGGTGGGTGGGGGTGTCTCAGGAGCAGCAACCCTACTCCTCTTGCCCATTTCTTTCTTTTCCAATTTTTATTAATTTGGATCTGGTTTCACCAAGTTGCAGGGTGTCCCCATCCGTCTGTGTGGTGTTTTATTAAGATGTAAGCACCCTTGTCTGGGTGCTCTCTGCACCCCCCATCTCTGTAACCCCTTTGTCCCCGCAGCCCGTGGCCCCCGGGCAGCGCCTCCGCGTCCTAGGGGAGGGGCGGCTGCTCCAGATCCAGCCCACTCAGGTCTCCGACTCCGGCCGATACCTGTGCGTGGCCACCAACGTGGCTGGGGAGGATGACCAGGACTTCAACGTGCTCATCCAGGGTGAGCGTGGCCTGCGGGGCGGGGGTGGGTGGTGGCCAGGAGGGTGAGGGACCTGTTGTTCCCCAGTTCGACCCCTGGGGCAGCTGTCAGCATGGAGCACCAGCCCTTGGCAAGGAAGCCCACCAGGCACCGCCCCCAGCCCAACAACCCTGGGCAGCAGCACCACCCTGGCCCGCCACCGCTGGGCACGAGGCCCTGAGCCCAGGGCTCCGGCCCCGCACACAACTAAGGAGAGCTGGATTGGTTCTGGTGAACCCAAACCTGGCCCAGCCCCTACAGATGCCCCTCACTGTATTAGGAAGCCCGCGGATCTGGTTCCAGCGTCCAGGTCCAGAGTGAGTCCAAGGCCGCGAGTCGGCAACGTGGGAGCTGCTCATGGGCACTCACGGCCCTTGTGTTCTTTCTGCTTTTGTGAATGATGTTTTCCTTTGGGAAAAAAGTAAAGAGAAAGGGATGTAGGGAAGGAGAGAAGCAGGCAGGGAGGAGGGATCTGGGGAGGCTGGGAGGCAGGGAGGCTGGGAGACAGGGAGGCTGAGAGGCCAGGAGACAGGGAGGTGGGGAGGCTGGGAGGCAGGGAAACAGGGAGGCAGAGGAGCTGGGAGGCAGGGAGACTCAGAGGCAGGAAACTAGGGAGGCTGATGGGCACGTGGGGCCGCTGATGGGCCAGGTTTTGCTGTGATGCTTGGGCAGTGGCCTGGCAGGAGGAACAACCCTGATTCATTGCTGGCCCCCTGGCCCCCAGGCCCCACACCCTGGCTCCGTTGTCAACGGGCTGCATGACCTGGGCTGGCTGTGCCCTCCAAGCCTTAGTCTCATCCTTTGCCAAATGAAGGTGACCAAAACAGCTGACCTTGGGCCCCTTCTGGTCCTGAAATCTGATGGTCTGGGCCTCTGTGGTTGTTAAATGCTGGCTAAAGCTTAGCATTGGCTTCCTGCCCTAGACAGTACTTCTGCGTCCCCAGGAGTCTTCAAGCCCCTTAGACACGAGCTCCTTAGGCCCCAGCACCACCCAGTGCCCAGCACAGAGTAGCTGCCCAATAGCACCAGCCAAGGAGGGAGTGCATTTAAGAAAGACCTTGACCCAAGGCGATTCTGTGTCTCTGCGACTCTCTGGGCAGAGGTGCAGTCCCCCTGCTGTGATTCCTAACGGCTTTGTCTCCCCACCCAGTGCCCCCCATGTTCCAGAAGGTAGGAGAGGCTGGTGCACCCTTCGAGATCCTGTCCCACGAGGAGGAGGCCCTGGGTGGGGTGACGGAATACCGGGAGGTTGTGGAGAGCAACCCAGCCTACCTGTACTGCGACACCAATGCCATCCCGCCCCCCGAGCTCACCTGGTACAGGGAGGACCAGCCCCTCTCGGCCACGGATGGCGTCTCTGTGCTACAAGGTAGGCAGGCCTCTGAGAGAAGCTTGGGGCTCTCCTGTGAGCCACCTGCTGTGTGACCTGGAACGAGGTGTGTGGCCACTCGGGCCCCTGGCTGCAGTTTGTAGCGGGCTGGCAGGGTCAGCCCTGGTCACTGTCTGCCGCAGGTTTTAGCACAGAGCTTGCCACTCTGGGCCGTGCCCGCCTCTGGCCTCAGGATCCCGAATGACCTGGAGTATCAGCAGAAGTGTCACCTCCCTCTTCTGTGGCCTTTACCTAAGGTCTCAGCTGGGCTCAGCCCGCAGCCTGGAGGAGGCTCTTGCTGGGTCACGACTCAGGAGGATTACTTTCTCTTTTCACCACCTCAAATATACGTTTAGTTAAGGTTATTTAATTTTCAAATGAGCTTTTTATTTTGTGATCACTTTTCTGGATGATTTTGAATTAAAAGTCCCAGGGGGTGGAACTGAGACCCATGGCTGGTACCCGAGGGGCAGGGCCCTGTGGTCCATGGCAGGGGACACTGGACGATTTCCCAGCTTAGCTTGTGTGCTGTGTCCTGCCGGGTCTGGGCAGCAGTGGGCTGCTGGGCGCATGGTCAGTCGCATGGCTGACCGTGAGCAAGTCGCACGAGGTTTGTACTTGGGCCCTTCAAAAGGAAGGCGAACTCCCCAGGCTCTGGGAGAGGCCATGCTTAGTCAAAGTCCCTGGTTCCTGTTTGAAATCCCTGTAGCAATCCCCTAACCTGCTACTGGCCTCTGACCTGGACACCAGCTCCAGATCCTAGTGCTCAGTGGGCTCAGTCACATTCTCGTCCCTAATGCAGATCCTGGCCACAGGCCAATCCCAATTGTCAACTGAACCCAGCCCAGCCACTGACACTGCCTCTGGCCATTGACCTCCAACCCCAGCACTGACCTCTGACCCTGGCCACTGACCCTAATCCTCAGCATGTCATGGTGGTGGTCATAAGATAATGACCTGAATTCTGATCCTGACCTCAAACTCAACTGACTTCAGCCCGGGAGCTGCCTATCATTCCGGGCTCTGTCCCCTGGCACTCTATGGAGAGTGCTGGCTCTTGGTCACTCCACCTGCTGCAGACCCAGCGTCTGCCAGCCTTGCCTCCCGGGCATCTCCTAGGCCATTAACCTGCTGCCCGTCCCCTGCCGTCCTTGGGAGGGGTCAGCTCCACACAGCCACAGACCTGAGCCTGGAGCGGCTGCCCTCCTGCTGGCCGCTGCTGGGAGCCTGTCTTCCTGTCTAAGGTGGACGACGGCAGCCCCACAGCGCCAGTGCCCTGGGTCCCGGCTCCCAGCAAGCCGTGAGCTGCCCTTGGACCTGATTCTCTCCATGGCACAGATGAGGCGGGAGTGGGAACTGTCCTCAGCCCCCTCCAGAGGAGAGAGCTGCTTCCTCGCTCTCGGGTGGGGCTCGCGGCAAGCCCAGGCCTCTGCCCTGTGTCCCTGCAGGAGGCCGGATCCTGCAGATCCCCCTGGTGCGGGCTGAGGATGCCGGGAGGTACTCGTGCAAGGCCTCCAACGAGGTGGGCGAGGACTGGCTGCACTACGAGCTGCTGGTGCTGAGTGAGTGCAGGGGTGCGGGTGGGGGCTGCAGGCTGGGCCTCCCTCTGCAGGGCCAGGTCGCCCGAGCTTCCCAGTGGGGCCTGAGCCAGGCAGAACCGCTCACCCTCGGAGTTGTGGCCTCCTGGGAGGGCTTGGCCAGCAGGCACAGGAGCCCCAGGCGCTGCCCTCAGCCCCAGGCCCACCCCAGCCCAGGAGCCTGGCCGCTCCTCACCCTCTCTCCCCCACCCAGCCCCGCCTGTGATCTTGGGTGACACAGAGGAGCTGGTGGAGGAGGTGACCGTCAACGCCAGCAGCAGCGTCAGCCTCCAGTGCCCGGCCCTGGGCAACCCCCCGCCCACCCTCTCGTGGCTCCAGAACGGGCTGCCTTTCTCCCCAAGTCCACGGCTGCAGGTCCTAGAGGATGGACACGTGTTGCAGGTGGGCACAGCCCCCCCCCCGGGCTAAAGGTGTCACCTAGGATCCTAGGCTCCAGGGGGCACCCTCAGCCTCCAGGGTCCAGACAGGTGCAGCCCCCCGTAGCCGCCCACATCCAGTTTGCTACAGAGAAAGGCCCAACACCAACCTTACACCCCAGAAAGAGTGTCACACAAAGCCCCAGATGGAGGGGCGTCACAGGGGTCCTCCTGGTCTCCTTGGGCCACCTGCTGCTGCTATGGGGCAGCAGGGACAGGGCCTCACAGCAGCTGGAGGGTGGGGCAGGGAGGCCAAGGGGCCTCCAGCTCCCACCAGAGCCACCTGCCTGTGGCACCTGCAGGTGTCTACGGCAGAGGTGGCCGACGCTGCCAGCTACATGTGTGTGGCCCAGAACCAGGCAGGCTCCGCGGAGAAGCTCTTCACCCTCAGGGTCCAAGGTGAGCGGCTGCACCCGTGGCCCTGCCAGTGCTTTGTCCCTCCCGCGGGGACCTCTGGGACCCGCTCTCAGAGTTCAGGGATCCCAGCCTGACACCAGCTATGTCCTGAGCAGGGAGCGTTTGAGGACCCTGGTCCCTACTGGGCCATCTCCAGATGGTCCTGAGCAGCTGTCAGGCAGCCGGGGGACGGCTCTTCCCGGCCTGACAGCACCAGGTCTTTAGGTTCATTTTTAGTTACAGGTGGACACAAGATCTTTATTGTAGGATCCAACCCAGTGCCTCACACAGGGTAGGCGAGGTTCTACCTCAGCCACAACCCCAGCCCCCTTACAGCACTATTTTTGAGCACCTACTGTATACCTGGCCTGGAGCTGAGTGTTCTCCTGGGCCCAGGCCTTCAGCTGAGCGGGGCTGAGCCTGGCTTTCACCTGTGGAAACACCTGGAGAGGCCGGCAGTGAGGACGTGGGGCTTCCTGCTGAGCCTGCTTTCTTCAGTCTACATTCTCCTGAGCTCAGATGCAGGGACAGCTATGGCCTCAGGAGCGAAGCAGGCAGGGCTAAGCACTCAAGGTCACGGACCCAAGGAACAGGAATTTTGTCTCTGCCACTGATAGCTGTGTGGGCTTGGAAGAGTGACTGTCCCTCTCTGATCTCCAAGCCTCAATGTGCTCGTGTGGACAGGAGCTAGGACCCACAGAGGTTCTGCACAGGGCTGCAGGAAACCCCAGGAGCTTGGTAGAGCCCTCGGTGTGTCACCTGCTGGCCCTCTGCCCCTGTCCCTGTGCATTCTGATGTCTGTCTTTTATCCCGGTGGCCATGGGGACAGTCCCACCACGAATCACAAGCCAGCACTCGGAGCAGGTCACCACCATCCTCAACAGCAGCGTCTCTCTCCCCTGTGAAGTCCACGCACACCCGAGCCCCGAGGTCACGTGGTACAAGGACGGCCAGGCCCTCTCCCTGGGGGAGGATGCTTTCCTGCTGCCTGGTGGGTAAACTGAGGCTTTGGGCCCAGCTCTGGGCTGTGGCGGCTGCTGTTCCAACCCAGGGCAGGGCTGTGCGGCTGGGAGGGGTCGGGGGTGGGGGACAGTCCCTGAGGATTGGCGCCAGGACTGCTCCTCTGCAGGCACCCACACGCTGCGGCTGGCGCGGGTCCAGCAGTCGGACTCAGGGACGTACCTGTGTGAAGCCCTCAACGCCGCCGGCCGCGACCAGAGAGCAGTGCAGCTGAGCGTGCTGGGTAGGCACTGCCCTGCGCAGCCTCTCCTGTGCTCCATCAGCCCCAGCAGCAGTGCAGCAGAGGGCAGCTGGCACTATCTGCAGCTGGGCCCCCATCCTTCTGAAGGGAGAGAACCCAGGTGGCTCGGTCTAGCATGGAGCTTAAGACCAAAGCCTTGGGAGTTGGATGCACTGGGGATTGACACTCAGCTGCGTGTTCACTTGCTCTGTGACCTTGAGCAAGTTGCTCCCCCTCTCTGAGCCCCAGAGTTCTCATGTGTAAAGTGACCATTTTATGATGCACACGGCACTTAACCCAGCACAAGGCTCGTGGTGGGCTTCCGTGATGGTCAAGGTGGGAGGCCCTTCTCTGGTCTCAAGAGCTGCTTGGCATGGGGCTTGTTAAGCTCCTTATCTTTAGGATCCTCCTGGGGAAAGTTGGCCCAAGGTGTCACAAGCCAGGACTCACTGGAGGGTTCTCTGTAGCCCTGAGGTGGCTCCTTCACTTGCCTGTGCCCACCTGCTGTGTGCAGGGAGTGGGCTTCTGCATTCCAGAGAGGAATGGGACCCCTGGCTGGGACCCCTTGGAGGTCTCTGCCCCAGCTGGGGGCTGCTCTTACAGGAAAGAGTGGGGAGGGGGGGCTGTCCCTGCCTCCTCCCACCCACCCCGGAGGCTGAGGCCCAGAGAGGGCAAGAGGCTCTCTCTGGCCATCCAGCAGGTCCGAGGGTGCCGTCTGGGTTCTCTTCCCAGCTCCCCTGGGTCTGCACCAGCCACCAGGGTGGAGTCACTGTGTGTCCCTCATGGGCCTCCATAGGCCACTCATCATGGTAGGGCCAGGGAGGACCTGGGGAAGACCACAGAGCCTCACTGGGCTGTCTTCTATCCTCAGTTCCCCCAACCTTTAGGCGGGCTCCCAACAGCCCCCAGGAGACAGTCCTGGTGCAGGTTGGGGACAAGGCTGTCCTAAGCTGTGAGACAGACTCGCTTCCAGAACCGGCTGTGACCTGGTACAAGGACCGGCAGCCCCTGGCCCTGGCCCAGCGGACCCGGGTTCTGCAGAGTGGACAGAGGCTGGAGATCCTGG